TATATATATCGGATTCTTCTGTTGTACAGTGTTAACTATTTGAGGAGGGAAAATATTATATAGTATAGCAGCGCAAAAACTCTCATAAAGACCTCTACTGCGTATCATATATATCTATAATTTTTTTGTTATCAAATACACTAATTTCGGTTTCAATCTCCTGACGCTCAGCGTTTAGCTATGCCTGCTTTAACTAATTATCCTACTATATTTGGACCTTGGAAAAATTTCACAAGCCAATCGGTTCTTGCTTTTTTTAGTATCATTATTTTTTGACAAAACTGTAATCATGTAGTAGATATACAGTTGCTTTATCTTTATCTATCTATTCAACATAGTCCAATAGAAATATTTGCTATTTAAAGCCTTTGGTCAAGGTAGCAAGGTTTTTTTGCTTTATGCAGTCAACGATATCAGCCATCGAAGCCAGTAATGAGCTGTTATCATGCAAATGTATCCACGAATGCAGCATGCACATACAAAAGTGCATACATACGATAAGGAAATTATTTCTTTTTCTTACTATATTTACTGTATTACTATATATATATATATATATATATTTACTATTATTACCATAGAATGCAGGACAAGCGTTTGATAGGGCGTTATCTGGGAGCGCCTCTAAGTTCTATTTTTGCTTCTATCTGAGCCGTTTTCATTTTTCTTTGGAATATAGTGATTGAATCGACCTATTTGAAATCGACCTGAAATTGAAATCGACCTATTTCATGTGGTAATATTATCCTACTTGTCAATGAAACGGTATTTATTATGAATAGTGGTAACCTTGAGTATACCTAATAGACCCATAACAGGAGAAATCTGTTATTTATAGATATACGTATACGTCATACCACCATATTCAAACCCAGCATAGCTGATATGATATTGGTGAACCCAAATAGAAATCAAATAGGACATCCCCATAATATGGGATGTGAGTATATCACGTTGCAATAAATATTTCAGGTTAACTACACTTTGCAATGCCTTTTTTTAATTGTATTAATTGCATACGCTGGCCTGAGCCTATAAGATACTGATTAATAAAAGGTCAGGCAACACATCGCTATTTGGCCTCTAACATTTTGTGCCGGCTTTTCAAATCTAGAACTCCTATGTCCATGGAATATTTCCTATGTTCCCCAATCGTTTGGATCTCCAACGTTCCAATTGGTCATCAGCAACGCCCTTGGCTTACTAAATGGCCTGCACGTTATACATTATCCATGGAATTATATTTGGATTAACTAAAAACAAAGTCTGAAACTGTTTTTCCGTCTCAATCGCCTGCAATCGTGATTCGGTTTGACAATTTAGTTCGATTTAGGTTTATTATATGGTTAAATTTTATCTACCCGATTGATTTCATAAATAGATAATAAGTGGTTAATAAAAACTAAGTGATAATATAATAAATAGCCAACTGATCCAAATGTCGCCCACAGTATTTAAATAAAACAGTGTCTAACGTACAATTAATTATATTTTAAGTTTTTATTTTCTCAAGTCTTTTTTTTTACAGTTTAATAATAAGCTTAATACGTAATATATTTCATATTTGGAGGAAGTCCATCATCTTTAGTTCGTACCTAAAAGCTATCTATATCTACATATCTACCGAGACCATTATTATTATTGTCGCTTACAAGAAAATGCTATAAAATATCTGTAGGTGTACGGCCTATAACTATAGGACGCATTGTGGCTTACCTTCAGGACAATACGAGTCATCAACAGTCACTGTGTGCTCGAATGAGAATTCCACCGCCATTTTTCGATGAAATATATTTTATTTGATCGAAACCTATCACAGTTAGTTACTTGTATACTATTACAGACAAAAACACATCAAGTGAAATCGCAAACATATATATATAACACTTTCATCTGAAATCCATAAGTTGTATTAAGTCAGCCATGGTCCGCTTTTTGCCCAGCATCAATTGCTAATTTATAGAATTTATTTATAGGTAAAAGATACCTTTTAAGACATTTAAGGCAGAAGCTTTATAATTGTTTGGAAACAGCATCTCGATGTAGCCAAAAGACTGCCCGAAGCAGCTCTACGAGTCATTCATCTCCTGTTGCAGTGTTCGAGCAGCGCTATATTTCAATGCTGTTAGGGATATTCTCAGGATCAAGTGCGGTATACGCGAACTTGCGGCTCTCGTTACTTTGTCTGATCGTTTGCGAGATCTGAAAGTTCAAACGTGTTACTTTTAGTGGATCAGCAGGGTTGTACATTATGCATGCGTACGCTGCGCTTTTTCATTACTTTTGTTTTATGTTAACCGATCGATCAAAGAGTGATTTCGTCCTTTTCACTTCTAGACGGTACCAGACACCCCTGCTGGGGTCAGTCCTTGAGTTTACCAAGGTTAGGTGAGGCTAATGGCCTTTTGGTACCGGTGGGCATCGGACGAATTCGTTGGCGAGCGAAGGGGGCACCCGTAAAGACGACCCGTACAATCAGTGTAAACTTATTTTCGGACTTCCGTCTCTTATGTTGAATTGTTTGCATTCTAGGTCATGTTGCTACATGATGAGATTTGAACAGCTATAGTCCAAGGGAACGGACTCTAGATTTTATAAACGGGCGCGAAAAATTCTCGTTCATAGTTTGGCGCCATGCCAAGTCTGTTTCTTTCGTGCAACAACATTTCCATACGCTGTCCTTTGCTTAATCTTTACTTTCCATTTGTTCAGTCAATTCGACGATTCAGGCCGGGCGGCGATCAGCGTTTACCGTTCGACCATGTCCTTACCGACCTCACCAAATTTTTTTCAGCCAAATCCATGTAATGATTTATCCTAAGTTCACCTTTCGCGCTCTAGCAACTGTGAAAAAGGTATCGATCCTGCGGAGAAACAATTTACTTCGCGATTTAAAATATAATGCATGTGTGTACTCTCAAGCGGATAATACTGGCACATTTACTAAGTTCGTGTAAGGTCCACCCTCTTCCCTTACGATCACCGCTAGTGCTCTTCAGTTCAGGCCACTTAAAACATTGCGGAGGCCAATGCATAGCAGGTAGCTTTTGATATTCTTGCGTCACCTTCCTATACCTCCAAGAAAGGTGTTCTATTGTTCCAGGACGAGACTTCAATTTCTAAAGTATGAAAATTAGTTTTAATAACACGCAACCGCGTTGTCTTAGCTCCAGAAAGAAACCAGTAATGCACTTTTAGGTACGCGGTTCTCCCATCTCAGGTTTAAATCATACGAAAGATAACTATTAACGAATCCGATCAAGACGTAAACAGTGTAAAGGCAGGGCTGTCTAGATAGAGAGCGTGTCAAACACTTGGATCAAGCTTGCTAATTTTGATTCTAAATAACTAAGCCTAAAAAATGACCAAAATTTATTAAAAGACCGATCAAATATGATACTTGGTATATGAGTACACTACTATATCCGATATACTATATTATGTTATATTGTTTGGAGAAAAAAATTATGGTTTTCAATTTTTCTTTTGCTGACTGTGAATGAAGGACGTTTTCAGGTCGAAATTTAATAGTTGAATGTAGCAAGCCTCTTAAGAGTGCTACTTGTTTCACCTGTAACAGAATACAACACCTGACTAGATACAAACGAAAACTAGAAGAACGCGGATAGTAAATGCAATAGTCAACTTATCAATTATTAAGACAACTTAATAATGGCTTTGCAGTGAATAAACAGGTTAGTATAAAGACAAAATGTTTAGATACATTTTTCTTCGAGAGCTGCTGTCTTGACTCAGCTACGCTTCCTTTTTAGGTATACTACCAGAAAGGTACCCGTTTTACTGACAAAAGCCAATATATATGAGTACCGTCAACAGGCATCGAAGAACTTAGTAGTTGATACATTCCAAAGCGATGGTTTCAGTCTTTTCTATTGGCAGCCTGATACATCTAAGATTTATAATTCCTGAAAACACGATTTAGAAAAATGAAGTTCCTTAGATGTCTTTATAGGAACTGCATCTACCATTGGCTGGCCAACCTGGTTAAGCCTCCATTGAAGAGCTTGCAGAGCTTCCTTGTCCGCAGGATGTGAAAGATGAACTTCGACAATATTAGCGAAGATGTGCAATGGCCTCGCCGAAAGGAAGCGGATCACCGAAATCCAGCTCAGTGTTGCCTCCTTTGAAGGCAACTGACTGACAAGTTCGCCTTCAGTCCGCGGATGCTAGACAATGAAGAGAATATTTCAGATATATTTTGTCCCTGGCCAGTTAAGACACATATAAGTAAGAAGCTTTTCATTTATACCGCCAACTTGCAGTTTTCTCAAATAACCAGGATTTGTAACAAAGCGACAGCGAGAAAAAAAAGGACAAGTTAATAAGACACCAACGTTATCTCTGGGGATGGTTCCCCTCATCGCAGACGGGTAGTTCGGTGGAAATGCGAGATTGTCATATTGGCCTGAGCCATATACAGCGTTGAAGAGTGATGCCAATGAAAGCACGTTTGTCAGCAAGCTCAGCAAGCCCTCACGATCAATAGGCGATGGAATACCCTGAAAGGCGAGAACTACTAGAAGAAATTGACGATAACAATAACGACCAATCACTACGTGTAACGAAACAGATACTTAAGCTTTTAAATTCGTCAACATAGACTATCGTGATTTTATCGAAATCCTTCCTGTGCTGTATTTAATTTACATGGTTTAATTCACTAACCTTAATCTGGCATCCTCCTTTGCGTCTGCTTTTTGACATTTCATCACACCACCTATTCAGCTCGCTGTCTTCCGTTATGTCAGCTGGGTTAACTAGAATGTCAGTCATGTACATTGGAATCAACTCTAATTTCTAAGATCATTGTTTTTCAACAGTGACCGTCCTTACAGCGAGCGGTCAGTAAAAGACCTATTTTATGCCTTTCCTTCCTATAGCATAAGGCATTTCTGAAAGTTTCGGAAGCATCCATTAATATTGATTTTTTTATTGCTAATCGGATTTCATACGAATGCAAGAGTGCCAGTTGGCGGTGATGGGTTAGATCTAGCGCGTCGCTGCTTTGCTCTCCGCGCTTCTTTCGTTTGGGGCAGTACTGCCTCCGTAATAGCTAGCGATCATCCATACACGAACTCAATGCACACGATCAGCTTGCCGTATCATTTTGCATCATCTACTATGGGAATTGTCTCTAATTTAATCATTCGCTTTCGGAGCTCCTACACAAAAAAAAAACTTACGATAGTGGTGTTCGAGCACAGCGCAGATGTATGTACGAATTGCATCTTGGACTTGAAGTGCATCGTCGCGGAAGGGATACTCTTTTAAAGTCTTATCGCCTGTCTGCAAGTAGCCGAGACAAAACCAAAGGGAAAAATATAGCCATGATTGATTTTAGTTAATGTATATTAGCTAGATTTCAGTGTCAGCGGGCGTAACCTAGTCAAGTACCGTGGAGTTCTGGAAATCAAACCGGCCTAGGAGTGTTGATAGGAGTGCAGGAAGTAAGCTAACTTTATTCGGCCGATTCCTGCTTCTGTCGAAGCGTTCGTGATGTTACACGAAGCAGCCATGTAAACATTTGTTTGTATACCGTTTTTCCGCGTAACTATACATACTCCATTCCGTGTGATCACTTTCCGAATGTCGAGATCGTCAATAATGTGGAAGTCCTCGAAAGCTCGACCAATGATGGCCTGAAGACCGCGCATTCCTATACTGGTAGTGGAGTCCATCCATCCTCCAGGGCTCATCAGTTCACATTGAAGGTATCTAAAAACAAACAGAAATGAAACATATTTTTTGTTTTGAAACATAATTATAGCAGTTAATAATTATAGCAACGGAAGCTAAAAACGGGAGCACTAAATAAGCTAGGGTTATTTGGTCACCAGATGAAGCAAGCCGCCGAGTTCTATGAACTTTCTATAATAGTCTCTATGACAAGATATTTTTGCTAAAAAAAAACCTGTCTGCTTACGAGTTAGCTCGAATAACAGGCCTAAGGTGCGGCTCCAGCAGTTTATAGATAGGATGCGAACTTGACAGGCAGCGATTGGCTGAGACCCAAATGCTCTCGGGCAGGAGATGACATAATCCGTACCATAACCAACTCCTAGATGATAGAGGAAGCAATTTCACAAGGGCTATCAGAGGCTTGAATGTAAGAGGCCACGTAAATCATGCGAGCAGGTTCCTTTAAACAGGTTTATAAATAGGATTTTTTTATCGTTTGGATTGCTTCATTGTCATATAGGTTTGAGCTGTTAGAAGATGCAGCCTCGTACTAAGACAGATAATCAACTACAATTAGCTTTAATTAATTCCGGACGTCGCAAACAAACGAACTATGAAATAAATCATTGTTTTAATAGAACTGTACATATTAATGCTTAAATGAGACCTAGGGTGTTCTTGACATCATCCGAAGTAGTCGTCTAGTATTATCAATTACTTTTTCTCAGTAACGAATAAAAACTTTTTTAAACTCTGTTTTTAAAAACTAAACGCATTCTAAAAACAGAGTTTTCGTTATCGTTTTGGCCAGGTGTAGGGATTCTTTTAAAAACATTAACCTCGTATAGTATTGGATCAATGATTAGGTGCGGTTATAAATTAATTATTAAATTAATTAATTAATCTAATTTTTTCCTAGGGTTCCAGGCAATAGATCTCACTTTAGCCCCAACAAGGGAAACGTGTGATATGTATTACTTTCTTGGCCCGCTCAACTACAAAAGGACGATCTAAGATCTCTAGATTTTGGCAGCTGCCACATTCATGATAGCTGCTTAAATGTGATATATCGGAAATTTCGTAAACAATGTTTATAATACCTGTTATTTGACTATAATTGTTTTTAGTGACCATAAATTGGTGACTGAGTTGGAAACTCCAATCGGTGTTGATATTCTGTGATTCGAACACTATCTCATTCCATATGAGCGGAAATGCAGCTATCTGCAGCCTGCAGCAAAAGTAGGCTAACATAACAAAAAAGTAGCGCTTAAAAAATTGTAATAACCTGTGTATCATTGCATCCGCCATGTTGAAAAACATTTTGGCTAACATCCATGTGTACGGCGGGTCTGATGGCGAGAAGAGTACATTATCAGCAGCTGCATCCGGAAACAAATGGATCGCTAAGGGCCGCAGCTCTCCCCGAGTGTCAACGCCAAATAACCCGACCGGTGCGACAACCTGAATCAAGTGAGATTACACTATCATTCATGTGTAAATATCAAGCTGAGAAGATTCGAGGAACCGGAACGAACGTACAACCTATATTACGAGCATACGAATGGTGTCCTCTTAGCTACTTGCAAGGGAACCTGCTTGCCGAAATACTCCGACTTTACAATAAGCTACTATCTAGAGACAGTTGACGTCCTCGATATTACCCGGCGCAACAATAAAAAAAAATTCAATCGAATTAAATAGCGTCTCGTAGAAAATTAATTTTTTATTTGAAGTTCAATTGAAATTGATTTAGAATCAAAATCGGCTTTTTTTTTGTTAGCTCCAAAACAACAAGCGGAAGCTGATCGTGTCCAATCTGAAAGTTATGTGTCTTTTGGAGCATTCTTTACAAACACCAACGGTGTATAGAGACTTTCATATTGAAAACGAACATTTTGATAGCTAAACATTGACATCACTGATTCAGGTATTTTAACGTTATTGGAGACGTCAAGGATCCGCAAAGCAAGTCAGAACTTGATGGGATTTTCGTGACGCTAAAAGTAAATGAAGGTCCCGCATTATCCAGGTGAACTTTGCATGGAAAAATTCATATGTATTTTTCTCACTATTTACCTATCGGCTAAAGGCTAAAATTAAATATTGACTAAAGCCATTTGCAACCAAATAGTATCGCTCTATTTTTACAGTTATGCTGCAGTAAATTCTGACTCTAAGTGGACTCCGGTTTGGCAGGTGTTCACTTACCATTCTATCGTCCCTGCAAGGCAGATTCCTAAGAATTTTGTGATCGATTATGAAAAGTTTTTTTTCCTTCATTGTCCGTTCGAGCTCGAGGTTGTCGACCGATATCTGACCCCCATTTCGGCTTCCTGAGAGACTAAATAAAGACACACTTGGTCACAGATTTTCCACCAGTATTTTAGTGATAACTGAAAAAAAAAACTTAACCTTTTTGGACTGGAAAATGAAAAAAAAATCTTCCCAATATGTGTACCGAAAAAGGGACTAAAGTTCGTGTATCCTTTAAAATGTTGGCATAAAATGTTTACAACTCAAGAGTAACGCAAAGTAAAAAAAGCGATTTGAAAAGGTCGAGTTCCCGCTACGGCAGGAACGGTCGTTGTTTGCTGCAGTCAGCAGAAGATATAGTAACGCGAACATAAAACAATAGCCTTCGGACGGACTCTATAACATTATTTTCGCTCTTCTCCAATTGAAACGCTAAGTTTTATAACGGCTATAATTGACTACTCTAAATAGATTGGTTTCTTGCTATCGTCTATTGTTCCTAGGTGCTGCAATTTCTATGTCGGATACTCAGCTAACAAACCATTCGGGCAATCGAGTGCACAACTTAATGGCAGTCGGGTTAAGTCCTTGTAGTCTTTGAGCGGCAAACCACGCATCAGACTTCCAGCAGTGGATTGCCTGAAGTTTTGGCAAATCCGTATGAGAACAGTCAGTTCGCGATTATAAGACCAGCTTATTAGGCGAAAGAAAATCAACAACATACATTTTTTTATTGTTAGCAAGTTATTCCATTTTCTTTTGCACAGTAACAGTTTTAGGAAGCTCCCAGATAAAAACGATACTATAAAAAGTGTGTTCCTTACAGAAGGTTCTTGAAAGCCTAATTTATAGATGTTTTTAAGGTCGTCGAGCGAGCACCACGCAGAGGTAGATCCGGAGATAAGTTTATGTTCCATTCGTGAGCGAAGGGACGTCAACTCTCGCTAAAGAAAGTGTACAACCACAGACTATAGTCATTATCACTAAATCATATTTCGCTTAATTCTTAAGTACTACTTGTAGGCAGTGAAGCCAACCTATTCGGTGATCAATCATAACGTTCCAGAGCCTTAGAGAACTAATATCTCACTGGTCATCGCTATCGTCGAAATTGTCACAATCGGAAACCATTTCGACGCCTTTATTCCCTTCCGGTCTTATACACAGCCAAGTAAGCATTATAATGTAAATTTAAACTTAACGTTTCTATGAACTGACCGCGTCTAACGGGAATGCGGCCAAAGGAGGATTTCGACACTGGGGAGGAGCGCCTTCGAAGTTTTGACTCATCTCGAAGAGTCCACGTCGTTCTCGCAGTTCCTCCAGACGCTGACTAATGGATGTGTCTTTTTGTGGCAACAAGCAGTCGTTAACGGCAAATCGATATCTGTATTTAGTAAACAAATCAGGTTGTCAGTGTTAACAATTGCTATGAATTAGGTAATTTGTCAAGCACAAGTAAATTCATTACGGAATGAGTTGGCTTTAAAATGTATTTACTTCTTATCGGCTTTGATCCATCGATGCAAAGGCCAGGTTGCAAGAACTTGTTTTGAGCCACGTGTCCTTAGCTCAACTCGCTCGACAAACCAGTCATCCGCGAACCCACTCCGGTCCCTCCATAAGACAAGGAAGGCGGGTTTACCCAAAGCGGTTTGTTCGGACTGTTCGCATTTGTCATCCCTGTTCCTTTTAGGCTCAGATGGGACCGTGTAGAAGCCAGTGGAGTTTCGCTCATGGTCGTTTCTTAACCAGTTGTCTAGCTTGGTCTAATTAGTGGCAAAATTTAATTTACACGAATGAACAATTTATGTTATTTACGTCAGAGTCAACGACGCACTGGACGACAGGAAAATAATTACGTACAATAAATTACTTTAGGCCTAAGGGTACAAGGCTAGAGGTACCTTTAGTAGCGCTGAGAAGCCTACGACTTGGAATAAATATTGCCAGGCTGTCGGCGTCAAACAAATCGTTTCAACGAAATATTCTTGGTTACGGCTTTTCGGGCTAAAAGGAACTGGGCAAAATTCGGAATTTTGGACTAATTCTTTAAGACAACGGTCACGTTCAAGTGATTACCTTATCTGGCATCCATTTACTTTAAACATTTTACTAAAACATTTTCTATGGTAAAGCTACGGTAATTGGGTAAGTGTTATCTCACCTCTGCATTTCGGTTTCCGTTGACATCTTCGATGAAGGCGTATATGTTAGCATCTGTACCTGCACCTTTTCGATCACCAGTCTTCACGACAAGAACTAGATCGCTTCGGAACTTAGCTACAATGCCTCCCATATCTGAATCTGGATAAATAAGATCTAGAGAGAAGTTTTTATGAGTCGGATAAATAACTTTCGGAAAAGCTAAACATTTGACATGTGAAGGTACATCCTGCTCTGATAAGAGTATGCATATGTAATATCTGCAGGTCTGAATTTACGCCACTGTTCAATTTCTTCTCTAGCTTTATGGCCCTATATATATATATATATATATGCAGGTATTATATATATACATGATGTGTTCGCTTTTTATTATATGCACTTGCACAAAACACTGTTATATAGTGATAAACAGTGGTTTCATTAACGACAAACGTTTCTTATTTAAAGGAATTATAATTTGACAGTTTTTTTGGACTGAATATTAGGTGAAAGCCCAAGGGAACCATGGTTTTCACTGTGACACTCCGAGATCAATCTAATCTGATATGAATATTGAAACATCCCTTGCATAATAAATTTGAACAAGTTACACAACTTTGTTAAAACTTAGGTCTATGTAGATACTGTGATGATTCTTTATAATCCTCAAGCTGTTTTAAATACTGATTCGAATCATAAGTGCTCTAAGGCATAAAAGTTGAAATGGATATGTGTTGAATAAATATGTTGAAATTTTGAACGTTGTGTTTATGGTATGATGTGTTTAGGTACAAACCAGACGAAACTTATAGAAATAGTATAACTCATAGCCTAAGGATGTAATAGCCCATCTTTTTATAGTTCACCTAAAAACCTAAAAAAAGCGTTTTTTAGGTCTGCATAACCTAGATCGAAATGAAGAACCTTCGCCGATTAATATAGACTCGTTGAAACAAGCAGTAAGTTGATTTGAAGTTGTAATCGGCTTTCAATTCACTGACCAGATTTGAAAATGATTACGGAAATTTACTCACTTCGTCCGAAGAACGCAGACCTAATGAAATCCACGCTATTAGATAGGACTGGTCCGCTACAAATTTTTGTCCTTTAGCGAAACAAGCTGAGATACAGAATGCGGTTAGGTACCCTACTTGCTTGTAACTTATCGACAAATGCCACCATTCAATTTCATGCTTAGCGTAATAATCATAGCGGCCAATAATGCCCGCATGTATGCTCATAAAAAGCAGGACTCCGTCAATAGATCCTTATTCACCGAGCTGTGTCCTAACAGCATTTGCAAGTACTTATTGTGAATCCAATAAAAGTTACACAAAGTATTTTTACGTTTGACAGACTAACAAAAGCAGCGTCTGGCTGTATCTTGTTGTACGTAGGGAATACCAACGAATTCAAACGAGATCGAAAAGTATACCTTCGAATGTTCAAGTAAACGGATGGCTATCCACGGCAAAACGCCTATCGTTTAGGTTCGTTAACAGAGAGCGACATTCGCGGTGCTACTCAAAGGAAATGATCTGAATAGCTATGGAGTAGTCGCCGTAAAGACCTCTAGCATTCAGCGACAATAACTATCGGCCTGTTCGAGTCCTGCTTCAGCAGCTGCCGCTGTTCCGGCAAACTTATGGGTGATGCCTGATCTCGTGTAGGCTAAGCTCGCCGAAGCCCATCATCGGCTCAAGTCGTGTAGGTCGTGAGCCTATCTTCTGTATTCAACGTGGCCAAACAAGCAGTCCCTGTCATTGAAACATCAGATCTATTGTATGATAAATATAGCTATAAAGGTAGAACGCAAGCCATACGGCCATTGCTATTTCAAACAAACAGCAAGAACACTAAACAATCTATCAAGGCAGCTTAACGTGGACTAATGTTATCATAGTTACGTTGTTGCAAAATCATACGGCTTCCACGTTCCCGTCCTATCGGAACCGTTTCTACTGTAGGTCTATTTGTAAGAAAAGCAATTAAAATTTTTCGACATTTTTTGAGATGCGTGGCTTTGATCATGCCAATAGAATTTACTATACGTCTATCGAGCGATGTCTATCGGTTGCATATTACGATGCTCATTCCGCACCGAAGACAGAATCAAATCGCGAAGTTTAGCTATAAAAATCAATAGCTTAATAATGGCAAAAAAACGACGGTGCATAACATTGCTTTCTTACACTCATATGTTATAATTAGTGGACGACGATTAAGTTCTTGATGTCTATAAGTACACGCAATTTTACTTGAATATATATATATATATATATATAACAATGCACATATTCTAAAATGTTCTCCGATTATATTCGTTCTGTGTGTTCGGTGTAGTCGGCGGCACGGAAGGTGGGGGCTAATGACATGGGTACATTATTATAAACATAGATCACGCTAAATTAGCTTCCTGTGGCACAGACGGTACTGAATAGGCATTTTATTTGGGGGCACGATGATTTGCGTGATTACATGAAAGGACGAGCCATTGGCGTGACTGGCCCCATCGTATCCGTCTCCATTCTCCATTTATTATATAATAGTCAGCGCCCACGAAACTGATCTGAACACCACAATCATAGAACAGTAGAAATTTACTGTTTCTGCTGCTAATTATATATGTGTAAGCAGCAATGTGCAACTACTAAATGCAGTGTATTGTGTAGCTAGTTAAATGACAGGTGTGTAGACGTATTTGATACGCAATTTGTCCTATTTTGACCATGGAAAACCTAAAAAATTCAATGCTGATGTGGGCGTAGCCTTTTGGGAAAAGTGTTTCGTTTGCTTATTATATAAAAAAAAAGTCACATACTTTTTAAATAGTAATGGTTTGTAAACTATCGTCCACTCGTAGGACATCGTTTGAAATTACCCATTTGTCTAAATAAGCGAAACGGGTCATCAGGGTCCACTAATACTTCCTATCGATAAAAACTCTTCCTTAAGCAGCATTTTCGAAGGCGATTACGGGGTTAATATAAACCCACCTTACGCTAAGAATAGGCACATGGATCTCCATGTGCCACGCTGCATCCCTAGTTTGGTTTTAGTATACGAAACGGTTATAGAAAAATTGCACTGAATAAAGATATAAACTAACCTACTATACGAGCCAATGTGATCTAAGAGCCTGAAAAATCACGGGTGCTCTCTCCCGTTGAACGAAAAGACGAGGATAAAACAGATAATTCTTACTCTTACCAAACTGGTAAAATACAACAAATAATGGATTCACATAGAAACTAGTCTCATAATCGCTTAACATCTGTGACCTTAGCCTCATTCTGAGTAACTGGAAGGAGCTCTCAAATCCATTTGCTACAAGATCGCATTGTCAAACAGTGACACAATACGCTCTGCCTTGTCTAATTTAAATTTGTTCCATATTCCTTTTTTCATTTGAATCAATTTCAAGATCAGAGAATACTTTTAGTTGCATGGGAACATTAACCGTGTGCTGCCCTCCCCAAACAAAAGCAGTCCCCAAAAAAGAGCTCCTTTCCCATATTTAGCCCCAGCTGCCTTCGCGGACTGAACAGTTCTTTTAAAAGTAACTCCCGCATGCTACAGTGGCCATAATACAAATTGGAGTATTATAGCAAGACAAGTCATCTTTGAACAAACGGTAAGTGTTCAGTGATCTAACAATTTCGAGAACACCACGGGAATACCTTACGAAAGCTTACGAAAAACCCCTTCCTATTGTGATCGAGCGTAAACAAATCCAAAGTACGAGCTGTTCCCTTGGAATAAAACTTGTTTCATACGTAAAGTCGCCTACAGGAAAGCGGTTACCGGATCTTTGAATGTCGGATAATCCAGCATATATTATGGTTTTTAGTGTTTACTGTAATTATACATATATATATATATATATATATGTATGTATGTATGTATAATTACAGTATATATAATACATATAAAATGCAAGTTCGTATTTGCTACATATGAACGTGACACATATATTTAACATATTTTTCTTCGTTAGTAAACCTCCTAAATTTATCGAATTTATGATATATTCGGCTTTCTTTAACGACAAAAGTTACCAAGGTTCTCTTTGTTCATCGCGATTATCATTTGTGAATTTTATGAATGTAAGCAGGAATGAAAATCCACGGACGCTATCGTGCTATCGTACCGATAATGGCTATGGCAGTTCTACTTCTGCTGTCAGCCTGTGTGGCTGGAAAACTCAAAAAAATCGCGGGACTCGGGGTGCTCGGTGTGGCCCTAGCATCTCGGTTTGTCCCAATACCGATTCAGCAGTAAGTACACCTTATACATTAAGTAAAACTAATTGGCCACGCTTATAAGGTGCTCTTGGTAAGATGGAACTTAGCAAGGTTTATCTAATTTATAATGGCGTGCTTCGCTCCTTAGAAATTACGCCTTTTGCTAGCTACTTAGATTAATTATCACCACCATTGTCTGTCAATCTTCTCTTTGGTTGAAAGCGGCAACTCCTCACAGCATCCTGCCGACCTCGACGTGTGTAAAAAGCTCCACAATCCTGGGATATAATAATACAATGTCCTTGAATATCATAAAAATGATTTTTTTTTCAATTATTGCATAGCTACCCATTCGGGTATGGATGCTCATATGGCAAGTGTAAATAATTTATCCTTTCTCTCCGTTCTACCTTATCTAAAATTAGGGGAAGCATTATGGGTTTCTACACCTCTGTGAAAACGTATACACTCCGAAGCATACTGCATATCAAAACACGTTGTGCTGCCCCATAGAACGTTTGTGTTTGACAACTGTTTGCCTCTAAGGCGGCTATCGATTGCCTTATGAAAATCACTAACTGGAAGTATAAGCCATTCGACAAGTAATTACCTCGTACGACCTCAACAATTGCATATGGGATAGCTTAAGAAGCTATCGACAGCTTAAACTGGCCTTATTGCTTAGATCCAAGAACTAGACAATGCCCCGCAATTCACATTGGACCCTGAACTGATACGACGACAGACCCGATGTTTTGATCTGGACCACAACTTGCACAGCCCAAGTCGATGCGATATTCGTCTGATACTTATCCGAGTGTCGAAATCTCGGCCTGGTCTGTACTGTTTGATCTTAGCTGAAAGCCTATCTAAACAATTATAGAACCATCTATTTTCAGTTCGAAACCAATTATCGCTTGAAGTTAATATTAACTGCTTTCAGCTGCAATACACATTAAAGCGTTACGCTGGATTAGTTGTCAGAAATGATATCCACACTTCTTTAACCTTAACATATTAATTTGATTATATTGCTTGTTAAAAAATAAGATGAAGATGGAAAAAGATTTATTTCGGCACAATAGTATATGACCTATTATTATATGCTGTGTATATAACTGTTAGCACGATGTACCTTAATAATACTGGATCTTAGGTGGTAAATGCTACAGCAGCTGTCGTGGCATTGCTGGACGCGTCAAGTTACTTCTTATTCAACTTTCTGCTTTCTAACAAAATCTGTCTTTTCCTTGTTGCGCTCCGGTGGTAACTGATGCTCCTGTTATTAGTTATCATCATGGACATCATCAGCGTCCGGATTCTTACGGCTGCTATTTCGGCCATCATGGGCATTACGGGGTCGGGTATGATTTCGCCGGGCACGACGGACGGTGGTAAGGGGCGCACCGACAGTAATGCGACAGTAACGTCGAACTGAATGTGACGCTGATCGCAAGTCGTTGGCAAGATCAGCGGCGACTCTCGGGAGCACCTAACAAACGAATTTATTCGTTCCTTCTATCCTAGTTTATCCCGCGTAGCGAACTTGTTATCCCAGATTCGAACGATTTTGCGTACTTTATTCAATAATGGCATGTTTGTTTCTATCAAACTTAGAGAGCCTATGCGGTATATCTATTACAACAGACCTGCTCAATATGAGCTTCCACTGGTATCTCTTAGCAAGCGGACCAACTACAGAACACTTGAACGTTAATTAACAGTGTTTACATCAGTGCTCACTTGTATCTGTGCACGATTTGTCAGATATCTCCGCTGAAAATCAGTCCATTTTTCTTGACTTGCAAATGAAGTGAAATGTACAGTGTCGGGACCATAGCGCCAGTTATATATATATATATATACATATATATATATATATATATATATTCGACAATTAAGCCAATAAGACAAATAGTGTTTTTTTTTTTATGTAGAAACCGTGATTTTCTCTTTTCCTCTTAGATGCGTTTTGTAGAAGACTCCTCTTTTCTCACAAGTTAATACGTTAAAAGCGTAGCCCTCCTTTTTTTTTTTTAATCAAAAACATTATCCTTTCACATCATATTGCAGCCTAGTATTTTGCTTAGTGTCTATAGATTTGTCTATCTAACATATGCTGTGTGCAATATGTACGAGGCCGTAGGAATAACAAGGCCAAGATGAAAGATTAGGCGTTTGTTAATTTTCTATGTTTCTTCTGCGACGATCACAAGATTCGTTCTACATCTTGCAGATGCTCCCCTACCCTTGTCCGCTGAAGTTGC